TATTTATCATCATTATTATTGTTATTATCATTAGTTATAATGTTATTATTATCATTACTAATATCATCATAATTATCATGATCACTATTGCTAATATGATTATCATTAGTATTAGTATTAGTATTATCAATATCATCATTCTGTTAGTATTGGCAACATCAACATCTTCATTATATTAGCTTTAGTATTATCAATGTCATCATTATATTAAGCTTAGTATTATTTATCATTATCAATATATATAGCTTTTAGTATTATCAATGTCATCATTATATTAGCTTTAGTATTATTATCATCAGTATCCTCATTATATTAGCATTATCAGTATAACCATCATATTACCATCAGTCCCCACCATCCTCCCCGGCAGACGCTGGTGATGAACGACACCATCCTGTGGCTGGGCGCCGGGCCGCCGCTGGACGCCCCCAAGTGCGGCTTCGCCTCCGAGAAGTGCGGGACAGACTGGTCCAGCCTCCTCGGCGGCGGCGTGGTGCTCATGCTGGTGATGGTGGCGGCGCTGTTCCTCTGCAGGTGAGAGGCCCTTCGTCCCCGCTCCGGCTCGGGGGAGGGGGGGGAGGGACCGGCTCTAAGGCCTTCCGGGGTGGCCTGTTGGGTCCTCTCCGACGTCCAAGGCGCGGGGGGCTTGTGGAGTCCTTCTCGGTGTTTGGCTCATGATTCTTGCTTTGTTTTCTTGGGTCATTCCCGATGTTCGATTCACTAGGGGTTTTACGTACATTTTACTTACTTACTTACTCACTTCTTACATTTTCAAAGTTTTATCTCATACATCATATTATTTTCTATGGAACTTTCTTCTCTATACAATTGACGAACGAGGTTTTACGTACGATTCCGTCAATGTTTTCTTGAGAGCTCCTTCCAATATATATATGTACACCAAATAGCTTTTTTTCTGACCCCCCCCTCCCTCTCCCCCTCCCTCAGGCACTACCGGTACGAGCAGCGTCTGGCATGTCTCCTGTGGAAGATTGACATGCGTGAGGTGACCATCCTCAACGACCCGGCCAAGGTCCCGTCCCACGCGCCCGTGAACAACAATACGGTGAGATAATTCATACTGCTGTTATTGCTATCATTATGAACATTATCATTGATATCATTACTATTTTTTACTACTACTACTATAGTAATTATTTTTGACATCATAGTTATTATCGTTATGATAATTTTTATTAAGATAATATCTATTACTGTTATGATCATTGTTTTTGTTATCATTCTTATTATATTTTTTCTTATTTTTGTTATTGTCATTATCATCGCTTTTATTATTACCATAATTATCATCGTTATCAGTATCACAATTTTCTGCACCAGTATTAGCATAAACATCAGTATTAACGCAAGTAATGTTATTATCATCATTACCATTTTCCTTCTTCTTGTCAGATTTTTTTTCCTCTCTCTCTTCTTACTTCTTCTACTTGCATTTTTCTTCTTATCAGTATATTTATTACAGCTCTTCCTATTTTCCTCAAGAGCAACAGCAACTCGATCCTCATTTTCAAAGTTTTATCTCATACATCATATAATTTTCTATGGAACTTTCTTCTCTATACAATTGACGAACGAAGTTTTCCTTATACTAGTCAAATAACTTATAATTATAGGCCTATCTACATGAATTCAGGTAAGACTGATTATGAAAAGAACAAGTTTATGAACCAATGCCTTCCAGGTGTATCCGTTTCTGGGAAAAGGTATTTCTTCGCCCTTTTGTTGCGGCTCAAAGTCAGCGGTGGAGCTCGGGGTTAAAGAACGCCGAGAAGAAGCATCTTTGCTCCATTATGTTCAAATACGAAAAAGTGATATATGGATCTATCGTATCTCAATCTATCTATCTATCTATTGTATTCTTAACTCATCTTATCTATCAATATATATAGTAATATAATAGAGTATATAGTTATATACTATATATTACCTATATATATTCAGACAGAGAATATATAATATATGTCGTGGTGTGTGCAGTGTGTGTGATGTGTGTGGTGTGTGGTCTTGTGTGTGCTGTTTTTAGTGTCTGTGTATAGTTGTGTGTGAGTAGACAATCACAGTGCATGCACACGAGCACACACAAACACACACAGCACACACACCCAACAACAACAACAGCAACCCACAACGACACACAGCGCGTCACACGAGAGCACCACGAACACCACTACCTACCACACCCACACACACAGCAGCACCACAACCACGACAACACACACGCACGAAAACGAAGTGATATCCATATAGATGTTAGAAAGTACAAGCCACCCCCCCTCCCGTCCTGGGCCTTATCCTTAGGGCATAGTAATCGAGTAGGTAAGGCCTTATGTAATCTAACCAGAAACCATAATAGGTGCATGGACGTGGGCTTCATTATAAATATCTATCATGTTAAATACTTATAGGTTTAGCATATTACGTAATCATTACATTGAGGGTGAGTTTATGTAATTGATAAATATATATATATACATATATATCTATAGCATAACATATTATTAATATATATTACTATATACTATAATATATAATAACTAATATATATAGATATATATATATCGTGTGTGTGTGTGTGTGTGTGTGGTGGTTGGTGTGTGTGTGCTGTGTGTGTTGCTGTGTTGTGTGTGTATATTACATACATATTGTAACTGTGAATATATTAGCGTATTACAGTCCCCAAAAAAGTGCTACGGGCAGCGTGTTTCCAGGTTGTCATTTGACTATAAGGAAAGAAATGTTTGTATTAACATAAGCGACGCACACGCATACATACGGAGATAGACACCAGCACAACAAACAACGACAAACGCACGCGACGACATACAACCGCCACACACACAACGCCACAACCACACGTAAAACACAAACAAACACACAACACACCACAACTCACACACTACACACACCACCAGTCTATCACACACAGCACATGACACACACAGCAAACACCAGCACACGAAAACCACAAAACCCACCTCTCTACGACCAACACACACAAGATAAGATAGAGCAGATATAATATAAAGATGAGAAGGTAAAAAGAAGTATAGAGAAGAAGATTAAGAGAGAGAGAGAAGAGAGATAGGGAGAACTGAAACAATAAAGAAGTTAAAACGAAGTGAGAGAAGAGAAGAGAGGAGAGGAGAGACGAGGAAGAGGGAGGCGCGCCTGGAGAGGGCGGCAGCGAGGCCGAGGAGAGGACCGGAAAGGAGAGAGGGAATGACCAGAAAAGAGGTGAGACGAGCACGAGGGCAGAGAGGAAGGAGAGCGCGAGAAGCAGAAAGGGAGGGGGAGAGGAGAGAGATGATCATGGGGAGGGAGGCGAAGACTCGAGGCAACGAGCCCTGAGAGGAGGGCGGGGCCTCGGAGGGAGGGGGGACGATCGGAGGAGGCTCCGCGAGGGATCTGGGGCGGTGGGCAAAGAGGGGGGAAGTGGTCGGTGGGGGTGGAGGAGCGAAAGACAACCGACGAAGGAGAGAGGCACGGAAGGAGGAGGTAGGACGGCGCGCGAAGTACGAGGAGGAGAGGGACGAGAGAGAGAGAGACAAGAGAAGAGAGAAGAATCAGTAAGAGTGGTGGGAGAGAAGGAGGAAAGGAGGGAATGAGGGGAGACTCAGACAGCCAGAGTGAAAGAGGGAAATGCCTAATAAAGCATGATCTCTTAATGCCTCACTTGAGCTAAACGTACAAAAACGTCCTCTTTAAGGACTCGTCTCTCTCCGTAAATAATTCAGAGTAGCGACACGAACTGCTTATAAAAAAGAAACCAGCTTTCTTGATATTCAGTCTTGAACTTACAGGTGTAAACAATGCCTTTATTTGAAAGTAGGACTATTTTTTCATACGCATTCACGGGTCAAAGTCCGCATGCACTCACAGCCTGGCGTGAGTTTCAACACGTCGCCCATAGATGGCGCGATATTCATGGAGTCCGGAGTGAAAGAGACACAAGGAGGGGAAAGAGAGGGAGAGGGAGAGGCAAGAATTGGGAGGTAACGAGGCAAGGAGGCCAGAGAAAGGGAAGAAGGATAAAAAGGGAAGGGAACGAAGATAGAAAAGGAAGTGAAAAATAGTGGAAGAGAAAGGGAAAGGAAGTAGGCCATAAGGCGGGATAGGAGGAGAGCCAGGCGGTCGGATGGCAAATGTTGGTTATTCTGTATTCAATATAACGGGCGGAAATCACCATATACAGACTAGATTTAGTGAAAACTGAGACAACAGTTTCGATATTCTGTTGGATTTTATCTTTAGGTCTGGTCAATATTCCAATAACTGTTATTATCATCACTATCATCCTCATTTTCAGTATCGTTATTATTGTTATTGCCGTTATCATTATTATCATTTTCTTTATTATTTCATCAGTTATCTTCATCACATTATTACTATTACTATGAAATTCTATAAGAGAGAGACCTTATTGGGTATGGGCTGTTAGAATCCTTCTTCCTTATTTAGTGTCTCTCTCTCTCTCTCTCTCTCTCTCTCTCTCTCTCTCTCTCTCTCCTCTCTCTCTCTCTCTCTCTCTCTCTCTCTCTCTCTCTCTCTCTCTCTCTCTTTCTCTATGTATCTATCGAGTCAACTGCTTGGTAGGCAATTATGCCCCCTGCTGTGCCACTACCATTTGTTGTTTAATTGTCTTGCTCACACATTCCCCTATCTTAAAAATAATAATGAGGCCATTAATAAAGATATACAGTATGCAAGGGGGAGGAGGAGCAACAGCGGGGTAAAAAATGTACAAATAGGCCTACATTCCGCATTAACACTTTTCCCTTCCACCCTACCTCATTAACCAAGGGAAACATCGATTTAGTTCCTTTCCATTTTATTTCGTGTATTCCTCTTGCGTTCAGTTACGTAGCTGCGGTTACGACGTGGTGTGTACTTAAATCATTACCACTTCAAACGTTATTATTTCTGTACACTCAAGGGGCGAGAGAACGTTTGATAACATCTTCCTGGTTTATGCTTCTACG